CCAGCCGGGAAGCCTCTACAAGTTCTACATTGGCATCACGGACCAAGCCGAGGAAGGAGTATGGATAAACGCCAACGATCAGAGACTGATAGAATACAACAATTTTAAAGCGTCGCATCCTCGCGGAGGGAGAGTTCACAACTGCGCCCATATCTTCTCTGATGGCTACTGGAGTGACACTGATTGTACCACTAAGTTGTGTGGCATTTGCCGCATAGAGAGATCAGAGTTTTTATATCTCCGAGGGATGTGTTTTTCCAGCGAGCAAGAAATGTATTTTCACTTGGATGGCTATATAAATAACCGACCGTTGTTTCGCGGTTTTTTCAACTTGTTGCTCTTCTGGGAAGAGGGCGCTCGGCGCTGGATACTACAAAGTATAGAGACCAATGCAACACTGGCGTGGTGGTCACCTCTAGACCGACAAGAATACCCAGTCGGTCAACACTCATGGTCGACGAATGACCTGTGTGGGGCCCTGCCCGGCACCACCATCGTGCTGAGCCTGTCCCCCTGCCCTCACCATATGTTCATCTGCAAGTCTGGCTTCTGCCTCGATCAGGTCCATCGCTGTAACTTCCGCTACGACTGTCTTGACGGGAGTGACGAGGATGACTGCGGTGTGGCGGTGTTGGACTCGAGTTACAAGCGACATCTCCCACCTCGAGGACCTAAGGACTCCACGCTTCAACTAACTCCAGCTCTCACTCTTACGCGCATCGCGGGGATCGACGATATTAGAATGGCCGTCGATCTAGAGTTCATGGTGAGCTCGACATGGCGAGACGACAGACTCAATTTCAACCACTTACACCCCAACACCAACACACTCATCCCCGAGGAAGAAGTACAACAGATTTGGACGCCGAAGTACCAATTCGCAAACCTTGAGGGCGGACAATATAAGTTGCTGGACAAGACGGTTGTAGTGGCCTCTTCTCGCCTGCCTGGCTTACCAGACTTCAACTCCGCCAAGAGAGGTACGTTGCTCAACCACCTTCAACTCGGCTTCGTTTCTACCACATATTAGCATTTCCCCAACAGAAGTATCGCCAGACACAACAGGCTGTAAAATGTCTATTCCGTCAATAACTCACTGCAGTTTTCCCCATAAACCTTAAGTTTCTAAGAATTAATGATCTAGCATTACTCTCCTGTTTTATATCATCAATATTAGCTTTATTTTTACAATGAAACAAAATTCTCCCGAAAGCGCAGCAACCATTTGTTGATCCTCCTAACGAAAACCGAATAATGATATTATATATATATATATATATATATATATATATATATATATATATATATATATATATATATGTGTAGCAAAGATCGCTTAAACTATATTTATATTATTACATATTGTATAATAATGAATAAAGTTAATTTTCCAGTTCATACTAAAACTTTATCAACATATTTCCACACGATATACAAATAATAACTTTTTCTCTGTGGTTAATCTGTATATTGGAGATCACGTGTTCCATTTCAGAATAATATATTTGCATTTTTTTCTGCTCTCAGATTTCATATATCCCGGAGCATCCAACGACATCTCTGTTAACCACCAGTACACAGCAAGATTCACTTGTGAATTTGACCTCTACGTGTATCCCTTTGACGTACAAATCTGCAACATTGACATTCGCCTTCCCTGGACCTATGACGGGATTGTCCAGTTCAACGTTACAAATGGATCTGCGAACTACACCGGCCATAGATACTTGGCCCTCTACACAGTGAAGAACATCAGGTTTGACCCAGAATCAGGACCCAGCCGGCTTAACTTAATATTCGAGCTGCATCGCCGTCAGGGTCTGGTCTTGCTCTCCACCTTCGTGCCGTCGGTATTGCTGCTGCTGGTGAGCTGGGCGACGCTCTTCGTGAACCTGGAAGCGTTGAACGTGCGGGCCATCATGTCTCTCACGACACTCCTCGTCCTCTATACCCTCTTCTCAAACTTGTCCAGCTCTATGCCCAACACGGCCGCCATCAAGCTCATTGATGTCTGGTTTTTCTTAATTATCTTACTCCTCTTCTTCAATATCATGATGCATATTTTTGTGGAATTTCTAGTTATTCGGGTTTTAAAAAGTGGCAAAAAAGCAGACAAGGGAATTAATGTGCTACTTATGGAAAGGAAGTTCCAACAAGAGGAGAAGGTCACAGACATTGCTGAAAGAATTAAAATGCCATTAACCGAAAGGGCGTTCGAGAGAGAGGTAACTCCAATAGAGAGAGTCGAGAGAATTAAAATATTACCTACAGAAAATGCGTTCGAACAAGCGAAGCTTCCTTCAAACAGAACCGAAAGAATTAACGTATCACCTGCGAAAAAGGCATTTGAACATAAGGAAGACACCAGGGACATGGCAGAGAGATTTAAGGTGTCACCTGCGGAAACAGCGCTCGAACAAGAGGATATTCCAACCTTCAAAATTAAAAGAATTAACATGTCAGCTAAAGAAAACGTACTGGAACAGGAGACTCCCACAGCTAAAATTGAAAGAATTCTCAGCTATTACAGAACATATGTTTTCCTGCCTGCTTTTGCCACAGCTACAGTTGTTTTAGGGTTAATGATTTTCCTAATATAGTTTTCTTAACCGTCAAGGTAAATATTTTGTCCAGATAATTAAGTACTTTGCCTTATTGTGAAAAAAAGTATAAGAGATATAATCTCTGACTTCATATGACTGTTTTAAGATGCATGTTATTGAATAGTTTATATTTGTTCTTGAATTTGTTAAGGCACACACACTGCTTAAAAGTAAATGTAAATGTCCATACCGATGTTTATTGGAGAATCAGGACAAATGTATACAAGGATAATACCCGGAGGAGAAATCAAGGTATATTTAGCTGGAGACGGCCAGCAGCAGGAAATGACTTAAGACCGAATAAAGAGATCATGTCTGAAGTGCAAGGTGTTATGGAAAGACCAATGTTGACATGTCCTGAAGTTGGGCCGACCAGTGAGCCGCAGTACACACACACACACACACACATATATATATACACATATATATATATATATATATATATATATATATATATATATATATATATATATATATATATATATATATATATAATGTCGTACCTAGTAGCCAAAACGCACTTCTCAGCCTACTATGCAAGGCCCGATTTGCCTAATAAGCCAAGTTTTCATGAATTAATTGTTTTTCGACTACCTAACCTACCTAACCTAACCTAACCTAACTTTTTCGGCTACCTAACCTAACCTAACCTATAAAGATAGGTTAGGTTAGGTAGGGTTGGTTAGGTTCGGTCATATATCTACGTTAATTTTAACTCCAATAAAAAAAATTGGCCTCATACATAATGAAATGGGTAGATTTATCATTTCATAAGGAAAAAATTTCAGAAAATATATTAATTCAGGAAAACTTGGCTTATTAGGCAAATCGGGCCTTGCATAGTAGGCTGAGAAGTGCGTTCTGGCTACTAGGTACGACTATATATATATATATATATATATATATATATATATATATATATATATATATATATATATATATTATATATAGCACTGAAGGTCGCGTGGCCTTGGTAAACCTGCGCCAGGTCGCCAGGGAGTGCCAGGCAGGGAGAGGGAGTGCCTAGGAGTGCCAGGGAGGGAGAGGGAGTGCCTGGGAACTAACTGAGAGCGAGTGAGCGCCAGGGAGGGGTCACGGAGTGCCCCAGGGAGTGCCTGAGTTAATCCTGAGTGCAAGAACGTCACATCACAACTGTGAAGTTTTGCATATATGAAATATGTGTGACATAAAAAAATATAAGAGACATAGCATATAGCCGTGTGATGTCTGTCAACTGATAACTGAAAATATTAAAATATTATTTAATAGTACATGTTATATTGGCAAAGTTTTTAAATTAGCATCAGCCTGTTATCGTTTGCTGTAACATGACACGCGTACAGGGATCACTGTGCTATCATGCTACTGATAACAAGATAGCTATGGTAGTAAACACTGGCAGTTAAACCCGTAGTTAAAACACAGATGCATCCGGTAACTCCTCTGACTGTGTAGAAGAGTTCCACACGCCACTGAATGGTCATTGATGCTGCGGGGAGCTCAGAGCGGTGAAGATTAGAACTCTCTCTCTCTCCCTCTCTCTCTCTCTCTCTCTCTCTCTCTCTCTCTCTCTCTCTCTCTCTCTCTCTCTCTCTCTCTCTCTCTCTCTCTCTCTCTCTCTCTCTCTCTCTCTTTTTCTCTCTCTTTCTTTAAGTAGTGAGAGAGAAAGAAAGAAAGAAAGAAAGAAAGAAAGAAAGAAACAAAGAAAGAAAGAAAAGAAAGAAAGTTTAATCAGGATCCCCAGCCACTTCGACTGGCCGGTACAGCAACAGCCTAGTTTTTTTGTTACAGGTCGGCGTTCGATCCCCGATGGTCCAAGTGGTTGAGCATCGCTCCTTCCCTCCATCCCCTTATCTTAGCATTTATCCAATCCTCGTGTTCTTTTCATGTCCTGTACGGTTATCATGGCATAGCACTTTCTCCTCATAATTCCCTTCATTCAGGGGTCTACAGTATGCTTCGTTCAGCTGATCTAGTTTATTTAACTAAGGCTTTAGGGTTTATTAGAAATGCCATTGATGATTTTTGTGAAACTGCAAGCAAGAGCTGTTATCCCACGTCAGCTCATCTCATATCATTCCTCTCTTAGAAACCTTTATTTTTTGTTGCTTATTATTTGTTTTATTAGGAATAAAACAACTTTACTTCTAATTAAGTAACTATCATATAAAGGGACATAATGAGCCAGAAGCCAACTGTGTGCCAGAGCCTTCATATGGTCGATCGACTTGATTTCATGTATATCGACAGCTAAATGAATTGTGGGGTTCAGTCCCTGAGCCCATTAATGTGAATCTGTGAACCCTTTCCACTACCACCCACAAGATGGGTATGGGGTGCATAATAAACGAACTAAACTAAAAAGAACTAACTCAATGTGTTGAACGAATACGTTCCATATGCGAGTAACCTTAGGAATAAATGATCGCTGATCACTGATAGTATTATAGTGGACTTAATAACAAACCTTAATTATCCAGAGGCAGCTACACATTATGGTAAAGTATAACATAACAGTTTGGAGAAATTTGAATATAATTTACGGACAATTCAAAGTGCACAAATGTAAATTTTGAAATTATCTACACAAGACTGTAGGCAAAGTGACTGACTGTGACTGTATGTACTAGCTCTATCTATTAATCCAACAAACTTTGCAAAATTTCTTGTATGTATGTACCTTACCTAAATAAACATTTATTTATTTATTTTATTTAAGAAATAATTTGGCAGTAGAATCGATAATGGGCAGAACAAACTATACTAGTCAGCATTGGTATACGCCCACAAAGGAATCACACTGGCGCGGTATATCAATGAGATACAAGAGATATATACAAGAGTTGTTACATTCTTGTACAGCCACTAGTACGCGTAGCGTTTCGGGCAGGTCCCTGGAATACGATCCCCGCCGCGAAGAATCGTTGTTACAACTAAGTACACATTTTAATGTTGAGTTAAACAGAGGCTACAGTTAAGGATTTGCGCCCAGTAAATCCTCCCCGGCCAGGATACGAACCCATGACAAAGCGCTCGCGGAACGCCAGGCGAGTGTCTTACCACTACACCACGGAGACTGGTCAAATATTACATTTTGCCTATTTCCATTCTTAGAATAATACTGCGCAACCCCCTACAGTTCAGCATATTGTGGACTACTCTAAAGACGGGGACCAAGAGCCAGAGCTTTCATCTCACATAGATATAAATAAAGGTGAATAGTTTACACGTACCCAAAACTAAAACATAAGTGTAAGTGCCATGTGAATCTTATAAGTTATCGCTAAAATACGTTTTCTTTACTTTTATAAATTAAAGAAAATACATAACAATATGGGTAACTAAGGTATTATAAATAAAGATATTGAAACTACTGTTCGGATGATAGTATTTTTCTGTAATATCTATGCGTATCTAAAGTATTTGACAAATTTTCATACACCAAAGTTCTTTTGCTAACAGAAGAGTAAATACAACCGTAATAGAACTCACAGAACGTGCACATCACATGTCGCTGTGGTCAGAGGTTAACTGTGCAGGAAATGATCGCTGTCGACGATATAATTGTAATTAATAATTCATTGTGTCGGGGGACAGGAAGCCAGAGTGTATTCATACACGTTTGGCTTATATCAAGGTTCCTTCCCCAAAGGTCGAATTACTGACCCCGTCCAAGTTGCAACCCCACAAACTAGGTAAGTCCTGAGTACTTACTTACTGCTAGGTGAACAGCTCAATAGGTGAAAGGAAATGTGCCCAACCATTTCACAACCCGTCCTCGACTCAAGTCCATTACATCCAGCGGCCGACCCCACAGACGCATTCAGAAATTCTTACATGCTGTTCATCAAAACGGGAATTTTCTCAAATATAAATTAGTATTATATTATATTAGCATATTGTGCATAAATAAGCATAGGTTAGGTTAGGTGTTTAGGTTCTGTTGGCGATTATTTGTATTTGTAGTACGTGGGTGAAGCATTTACAGCGTTGTGGTTCGAACAAAACTCGTCAGTGAAGCACTTGTTCCGGAAGTGTTCGAATGTCATCAGTTGTGAGTCGTGTGTAAAGCGTTTTTCATTCATAAACAGGGGGGTTGGCGGGTGGATGGAATCACTTTTGGGTCTTTGTTTGGAGGACGGGCCGCCATTTCTCTCCCGCCCGGGATTCGAACCCTAATGAACCCGACTGTACTGCCGGGACTAATATATGATACATAATAATAATAATAATAATAATAATAATAATAATAATAATAATAATAATAATAATAATAATAATAATAATAATAATAATAATAATAATAATAATAATTTATTTAGGAAAAATAAAATATCACCGGCTATCACGAACGGAAGAGAAACGGTTAGGCACATTTCCTTTCACCTACTGCGCTGTTCACCTAGCAGTAAGTAGGTACTCAGGACTTACCTAGGTTGTGGGGCTGCAACTTGGACGGGGTCAGTAATTCGACCTTTGAGGAGGGAACCTCGATATAAGCCAAACGTGTATGAATATACCCTGGCTTCCTGTCCCCCGACACAATGAATTATTATTATTATTATAAAAAATACATCCATACATAATGAGTTACAAGCAGAATGTTGTATTTCTAGATAGAGCGAGTATATTATATTATACCATGCCTAACAGAGTGTGAGTACGTGCGATTACAAGTGAATTCGTGAGATCAGATGAATTAGGCTCGGTTATGGTTAGAATATTTACATTAGACTAATAAATTATCAAACAGTGCTAACGAAGTCACATATAGGCAGTACGAACTGGGACAAATCTTTGCTCTTTATAAAACAATGAATGATAAAATATAATGAATGATATCACAATGAATTATTACATCTAGTTTAATAAATGGATTTCATATACCATATATAATATACATTAATGATTTCCAATAACTACAAAAGGGGACAAGAAGCCTGTTAGGCTTATCAAGGTCAGCCTCCATGCCAGCTATTGACCTTCCACAGGATGCAACAACCCACCCACAACAGCTGCCTAGCTCCCGAGTCTCTATTTTCCTGTCAGATAAACAGAGGCATCTGATAATTCTAATAGTTCATGAAAGACAAAGTCGGCATTAAACACGCGAGTCACAGCTCACAAAGAACCCTAAAAATGAGCCGGCCAGAGGATTCGAACCCATGACGCCCAGGATCACCAAACGCGCAAACTCTAACCGGCGCACTGCTTATAGTTATTTAATAAGTGCCTTGAAAAGCCTTGAAAGGCATAGAAAACACCGACCTTACCTAACCTTCTTAGTATGTTAAGATAAGCATCTTATTGCTTCTTATTTACAATTATTTCTTAACCTATAACGTGTGTTCTGTAACTACCTAACACCAAGAAGATTGGTTTGTTTAGCAAGTTTTCCGTACACAGCTGCCTCAGTTAAATGTTTTGTAAACCACGATATTTAATGTGTTTTTGTGAACAGCAGTATGGTTTATATTATTATATACGCATCATCAGCAGCGGAAACTTGAACAGCAGCAGCATCAGGAGCAGCAGTAGCTGAATCAACAGGAGCAGCAGCTGTAGATGAATCATCAGGAGCAGCAGGAGCAGCTGTAGCTGAATCATCAGGAGCAGCAGCAGCTGTAGCTGAATCATCATCAGCAGCTGTAGCTGAATCAGCAGCAGCAGCTGTAGCTGAATCAGGAGCAGCAGCAGCTGTAGCTGAATCAGCAGCAGCAGCAGCTGTAGCTGACTCATCATCAGCAGCAGCTGTAGCTGAATCATCATCATCAGCAGCTGTACCTGAATCATCATCAGCAGCTGTAGCTGAATCAGCAGCAGCAGCTGTAGCTGAATCAGCAACAGCAGCTGTAGCTGAATCAGCAGGAGCAGCTGTAGCTGAATCAGCAGGAGCAGCAGCTGTAGCTGTTGCAGCAGCAGCTGTAGCTGAATCAGCAGGAGCAGCAGCTGTAGCTGAATCAGCAGCAGCTGTAGCTGAATCAGCAGGAGCAGCAGCTGTAGCTGTTGCAGCAGCAGCTGTAGCTGTTGCAGCAGCAGCTGTAGCTGTTGCAGCAGCAGCTGTAGCTGAATCAGCAGGAGCAGCAGCTGTAGCTGAATCAGCAGCAGCAGCTGTAGCTGAATCAGGAACAGCAGCTGTAGCTGAATCAGCAGCAGCAGCTGTAGCTGAATCAGGAACAGCAGCTGTAGCTGATGCAGCAGCAGCAGCTGTAGCTGAATCAGCAGCAGCAGCAGCTGTAGCTGTTGCAGCAGCAGCAAGATTAGCAGCATCTCATATTGAGCGTGACTCACGGCCGTCCTTGGTGCCTCTGGCGGGTCTCGGCTGTACAGTGGATGCTTCTTAACTGAGCTGCCATGCCCACTGGATATTAATTATATCGTCTATATTGTCTTATTCTTCCCTGATCTTCGTATCTGTATGGGAAGGTGAATGTTGAGAACACGACATTTTCTTTGTTGCTGGTGTAAAGGTGTTCCTTTGACGAGGAGACGGACGTCGTTATTGAGAAGGATGCTAGCGTCTTGGCACCAACAAGGAGCGTGATATTTACCCCGTTGGTGGTCAGTGTTGGTGAGCGGTCATGAGGGGAGCATGCCCGCACCTCCTGCTAACGCTGCTACTGCTCCTGATTAGCTTCGTTACTACCCTGCCTGCTGATGCTTCAGATCCATTAGCTCAACCATCTGAGGACCTCAGCATCTCAGATATTGACCCGGTCGACTCCAATTCTGAGCGGTTCGATCCGGCAGCACCTGACCTGACCTCCAGCACAAGACCTGTCGTATGGGATCGCCTTGACGACTCTTGGGGGTCCTCTCAGGCGGTCGTTGAACGGCAGATATCCAGGGCGACAAGGGTGATCGAGGAGCAGAAACGGGTCATCGCCAACCTTCTGGAGAGATTCGAGGTTATGGACACGAAGCTGCAGGGGAAGTTTTGTTGCTGCCCGGGAGTTAACACGCCATTGGTGAGTAGAAAGGTCTATTTCAAAGTCAAAATATATGTTATTTCCTAGAGAGCGACGCTTCATGTAGGCCGGTGTTCAATCCCCCGACCGTCCAAGTGGTTGGGCACTATTCCTTCCCATCTCAAATCCTTATCTTGGCCCCTTCCCAGTGCTACATAGTCGTAATAGTTCGGTGCTTTCTTCCTAATAGTTCCCTTCCCTTCCTTAATTATTTGTTATTTTAAATTTTTGCGAATATTTTTACTTCGTATGAGAGTTTCAATTTAGTTTTTATATCACAGTTGAACAGAAAATCCAAATATATGCATCGACAAAAATGCACTTGGAGGTGGAGATGAGATTCATGCATACAATGACACCTTTCACAACACTGGGATTAGTTTTACATTGATCATGTAAACATGTTGGTACAAACTGTGTTTAGTTATTAGCAATCACAGTAGAACTAACCAGCCTGTTATCTGTAGTTTGTGAGCCTGTTATCTGTAGTTTGTGAGGCTGTTATCTGTAGTTTGTGAGCCTGTTATCTGTAGTCTGTGAGCCTGTTATCTGTAGTTTGTGAGTCTGTTATTGTCATTCTGTGAGCCGGTTATTCTTAGTATGTGATTCTGTCATTCTCTGACTGTGAACCTGTTATTCTTAGCTTGTGAGTCAGCTATCCTCAAACTATGAACCTGTTATCCTCAGTCTGCATCTGTTATCCTTAGTCTGTTATATTCTGACTGTGAACCTGTTATCCTCAGTCAGTCTTGTCATCCGTAGTCTGTGAGTCTATTACCTTTAGTCTGTGAACCTGCAATACTCAGCCTGTGCCTGCCATTCTTAGTCACCGAGTCTGTTATCGTCAGTCTGTGAACCTGTCAATCATCCATAGTCTGTAAACTTGCTCGGAAGGTCACCCCTGGATCCTTCTCAACTCAAAGTAAACACACAGTTGAGGAGTTGTAAACACAGCCATCACAAGTTTTCTGCGAGGTTGGTGTGTTAAAAAAAAATTCACCTTTTGTTAGAGTTCTAATGTTTATCTGTTTACGGAGCAGTGTATGTGTGAATACGGGAAAATACATGACATGTCAGCAAGGTAAAGTTTAATGGGCTTGAGGTACTGTATAATGGGCTTGAGGTACTGTATAATGGGCTTGAGGTACAGTATAAGTGCCATTTACGCCTATAAAGGGCACTTATAAATAGCGGTCAGAGTGTGTTGTCGGAAAATCCGACACCATTTAATATATCATACAGACATGTCTGTATGATATATTAATATGTCATACAGACATACATATATCATATTTGCTGCTGTATTACCAACAAGTTACCCATAGAAAACGTAACTTGTAGTGGATTTACCGTCTAAAGAAAACGGGATATCATCACCACATACTATTATATTCTCCACCTATTATGGTGGGAATTATTCTTAAATACATTAGTCTTTGGACTTTACTATCATAAAAACATCTTATATAAATTAACTTAATTATCAATATTAAAGTAGAGTAAATGTGACCCTTCTATCACTTTCTGAAATCTGGACAAAGTAGGCCAGGCGAGAGTGAGGAGGAAGGGCAGCCATTGTTGTGTCACCTCCGAGACGTGTGGAGCAAATTCGGCTCCTATCATTCTGGACAATGTCGGCCAGTAACGTCAATAGGATGGAGTGTTAAACAGCCATTGTTTATATTGAGACCAGAGGCTCACACGGGAGCAAATTCGGCTCCTGTTAATTTACTTGGACGTAGTGTTATGGAAACCAAAGGTACCATCTCCAACACGATGTCTACAATTCAAGTTAAGTCTATCCGAAACCCGTTTATCATTCATTTATGGCCATTAATGTCAGGATATAGGGTGACCCGGTTAGATCGCGAAATCGCCTCAAACTAAAGGTAATTAAGCCAGGTCTTCATGTTCTATGTACTGTATAGTGTTTTCTCTGATATAGCTTGTCATATATAGGATTCTGGCTTCACAGCTAGCGCACTTTTGACAGGTCAAGACGAGGATGGAAGATTTGTGCATCAGTTACTGGGTGATATGGAAGCTACCTCAAAGAGGATAATTTGGTGTCTACACCCTAGTTATACCTGGTGGACTAACCTGCTGTACTATAAGATAAGGAACCTTTTCAATGTATGTAGTTACTGTAGTTTGATTGGCTGCATACATATAAATATAAACCCCCTAATGTGTAGAGGATCGATTTGTGAGATTATAAGATTATTGCAGAAATACAGTCCACTTATCATTATACAAATTGCTATCGAAGTATATAAATTAACGTAAATATAAATTCATATAAATTAAATAAATATAAATCTCACAGGTCGGTTCCCACATTATTTGGTCATCTTCGAACCGGATGACGGATTATTTGATCCTTTGAACCCACATTTGGTCATCTTAGTACCGGATGAACCAGTTAACCAGTGGATTCATTAAATATACTAGTGCAGTGTTATTTAAACAAAGCCAGCCAGTCATAGACAGCGGCGTTGCCTCGTGGGAGCTCAGGAGCCTCCCTCAGCCCAGTTCAGCTTCGTCAGCGGTTTCATGCACACCCACAGATATTTGGTGGAGTGTTATTTCGTGAAATGACAGCGCTAATATAGAATCCAGCCAAATTAGTGACTGTGTCTTCGCGAGATTGTTCACGGATTTCGTGGTGTTACATTTCGCGAGAGATTATCTACGAATTTTGTGGACTTTATTTCGCGAGGTCACTAATAATATTTAATACTTCTTGATAATATTAGAAGTTTCATAGAGGCTAATTAAGAGGCTATTAACAATAATTGTGTATATTATTTCTCCAAATAGAGAATTATTTAATATAAATTGCACTAGTGATCACAGTATAATATTTACTAATTGCCAACCCACAACAGGGTAGGATACTGACTAGTTGAACTATTATCGTTCATCCTAGTCCCATTATTACCATAGTCAGTTGTACTATATTGAATAACCTAACACCATTAATGAATGGTGCAGACCCTATTTTGGGTGTAATTTTTATCAACTCGAATTGAGTTGCATATATAATAATTTACTTATGATCATTACACCTTTGAGTGATTAATTAGTGTCAATTCCATCCTAGGGTGATATAGAAGAGTTAACCTAAAGGTACTTCCATGACACTGGTTTATCACTCAAATCATTAGTGTGTATGATTGTATATATATAATGTGTATTAATTTTAAGTGCTAACCTCTAGTAGAGGTAGGATTATTGCCTAGTGAGTTCAGAATTTACCCTAGGCTACCATTAGTGTTTGTTCAGTATTATGAGCAGCCCAAGTACAAGTCCCACAAGGCTTCACCAACGAGCCAGTATGGATAATGCAGGGAGAATGAAAAGAACCCTTGCAGGTCTTAAAGGCCACTTAACAAGACAGATCAAGAAATGTGAAGATTTGTCACAACAATCTCAAGTTGATTATGCTGACCTGGAAAGCTATTATCAAGCAGCTGCAGGTAAATTTGAGCAAATCAAATGCCAAATGGCTGTCCTTGTGGGGACAGACTACTACCATCGATTCATCGGTAGCCCTACTAAATATCAGGGCATAACCATGTTAAACTCTGCAGGAGGTAAATTACTCTCAGGCCCAGTATCAAGCCTGGGGAGACCTATGCCAGCAGATAAACAATACCAGTAGAAATCTAAATTTGTCAGCTGATTATATTTCTCCAGTAGCATTATACTAAGGAGATTACAGCTGACTATAGCAACAGAGGTTGATGTTAGTATCATCATTTAAAGCTGGAGATGAGTTCATGAGGCCTCAGTGGCAAATCAGTGAACAGTAGCCTAAAACAGCTACAAGTCACTGCGACCAATGTCACTGAACCCACTGCAGTCTCAGAACCATACTTTACTTTAATGATGAGCTATTCAATCCTCTGAATCAATTAATTAAATTAAACCCCAATAAATCTGATGACTGATATGATACATTTATTATTTAATCAAGATGTATTCCATGGGCCTCAGTGTTTATATATCAGTGACCAGTTACCTGAAGAAACTTCAAGTTATATCTAATGTCACTGATCTCACTGCAGTCCCTGAATCATACTTGACTGTAGTACTTGATCACATCCAGTCTTCTGGGTTAAATAATATGTAATAAGGCTTGAATATTAGCCTTTCAAGAGTTAACAGGGAAATGAGATCGCATTAGACTTCTAACCCCTACAACTCTAGTACGGGACATCCGTCCTGTACGAACAGACGCACAAATGTGTGATTACTAACTACTAACATCAAATTAATCTAATAATTCGAAGGAGGAGTATCGGTGTTCGTCTGTTCTAAAGAGGACTTCGACCCGTGAGCAGCCCCCTGGGGAATTATGTCGGAAAATCCGACACCATTTAATATATCATACAGACAGATAATATTTGCTGCTGTATTACCAACAAGTTACCCATAGAAAACGTAACTTGTGGATTTACCGTCTAAAGAAAACGGGATATCATCACCACATACTATTATATTCTCCACCTATTATGGTGGGAATTATTCTTAAATACATTAGTCTTTGGACTTTACTATCATAAAAACATCTTATATAAATTAACTTAATTATCAATATTAAAGTAGAGTAAATGTGACCCTTCTATCACTTTCTGAAATCTGGACAAAGTAGGCCAGGCGAGAGTGAGGAGGAAGGGCAGCCATTGTTGTGTCACCTCCGAGACGTGTGGAGCAAATTCGGCTCCTATCATTCTGGACAATGTCGGCCAGTAACGTCAATAGGATGGAGTGTTAAACAGCCATTGTTTATATTGAGACCAGAGGCTCACACGGGAGCAAATTCGGCTCCTGTTAATTTACTTGGACGTAGTGTTATGGAAACCAAAGGTACCATCTCCAACACGATGTCTACAATTCAAGTTAAGTCTATCCGAAACCCGTTTATCATTCATTTATGGCCATTAATGTCAGGATATAGGGTGACCCGGTTAGATCGCGAAATCGCCTCAAACTAAAGGTAATTAAGCCAGGTCTTCATGTTCTATGTACTGTATAGTGTTTTCTCTGATATAGCTTGTCATATATAGGATTCTGGCTTCACAGCTAGCGCACTTTTGACAGGTCAAGACGAGGATGGAAGATTTGTGCATCAGTTACTGGGTGATATGGAAGCTACCTCAAAGAGGATAATTTGGTGTCTACACCCTAGTTATACCTGGTGGACTAACCTGCTGTACTATAAGATAAGGAACCTTTTCAATGTATGTAGTTACTGTAGTTTGATTGGCTGCATACATATAAATATAAACCCCCCTAATGTGTAGAGGATCGATTTGTGAGATTATAAGATTATTGCAGAAATACAGTCCACTTATCATTATACAAATTGCTATCGAAGTATATAAATTAACGTAAATATAAATTCATATAAATTAAATAAATATAAATCTCACAGGTCGGTTCCCACATGTGTCAAGCACAACTCACCAGCTTGAGAAGATGACGCGGGGTGGCGGTTCATAATTAATTAATACAGATTATCCTTTGTGACTCAGCGGAGCCTCGTGGATCTCCACCGCTCGAGTTAGGGTCACTGGTGCAACGTCTGGCTGTGAGAATTCTTACCAGAGAGAGAGATAGTCTGCAGGGCTGAACTTCAGCTCGTGGGCTCCGCCTTTAAAGCTGTTGGTCGTTTAATTTATTGACTCTCGACCCCTTTGCTTCCTACGTCTGTTTTTAAACCTATGAAAGGAGTTATCCTCAATTATTTCTCCACCAATTTTGTTTTAACTGATTATTACCCTTCCACTGAATATGTGTTTCCTTACATCCCTGTGGCTTATCTGTCAAGCTTTCATGTATGTTCTCTTGTAATGGTTCTATTTAATCTAATTCGGGAAAATTTTGTATGTCGTGATCATGTTTTCTCTGTTTCCTCTCTTCTTTGTTATAAAGTTAAATTCCCTCAGTCAATTCTTTTAACTTTGCCGCTTCAGTTCTGGGACTAGACTTGCTTGTAACCCCCTATGCTTTCAACACCTTCACTGTGTGTGTTTTGAGAAGGGGTTCCATGCTAGTGCTGCATACTCTAGAACTGACCAAGCGACCGCAAACTCTACTGTATATAGTGTTCTTAAAACATCGTGTGCGTTGGCAATAATTATGTATAATTAAATAAAATATAAATTATAAAATTTATCCACATTTTAATTAAAAGATATATTGATTTACTAACTGTGTGTGTATATATATATATATATATATATATATATATATATATATATATATATATATATATATATATATATATATATATATATATATATATATATATATATATATATATATATATATATATATATATATATATATATATATATATATATATATTTATGATTGATGTTCCCTTCGGGAATCTTAATTTTAAGATGAATAGGAAAACCAGCGATATACTGAACATCTTGTATGACAGTTAATAAGTTTTATTTGTATTGATCACTTTAAGTGAGCTTAAGTGTTTTGTTTTTTAAGCATTTTCCTTTCTTTGATAGGCAATTATATTCAGTATGAGTTCTTTGTTTACCAGCTATTTGATTGTGATTTCTGTTTTTTCTTTTAGATCTGATGATGAATGCGAGAAGTATTCGAAACGTTATGTTTTTTAAAGTAAAGATTCTGATACAAGATGTTCAGTATATCCCTGGTTTTCCTATTCATCTTAATATATATATATATATATATATATATATATATATATATATATATATATATATATATATATATATATATATATATATATATATATATATATACTGAAACACAAATTACTTTTGTTTTCCCCTAGAGGCCATGAACAGCACCGAATGAAAAGCCAGCGGGTATGGGGGTGTAGGGTGACTCTACTCACCTCACCCCAGCACACACACACAAAGCAGAAGTGTTAGGAAGGGCTGAAGCGTTCTCACAGATTCTCCCTTCTCAACACACGCGAGAGACCATCCGCTATCACCACTACCAGGTGGATAGCGACGCCTTTTCACGCCAAAGAATGATTCCTGCTCCTCCGGGCTGTCCCCACAAGAAGATGGCCATGGAATTTGTGAGGAAGATGTATCTAGTACCCTGTCTTCAGGCTCGCCTGTGGGCTGGTGTCCGGAGATTTCCTCTCTCTGTCTCTCATCACTCAACTTAAGGGGAATTATTTATTTGTATAAAATGTTTACCCTTGTTATATTCTCTACGTGTGGCTTGCTATTTGAGTTCAATGTTGTAAATTCTAAGAAATGGCAGAATGCAGGAAAAATCACTCTATGTGGTTGATGCTCTGATCAAAGGAATGGTGAGGATAGGTGACCGTGCCATTATAAGTGAGCATGGCTGCGTTTATAAGTGAGCGTGGCAGTAGAAGTTAAAGTGGGTGTGGCAGTAGACAGTTAAGTGGGTGTAGCAGTAGACGTTTAAGTGCGTGTGGCAGTAGAAGTTAAAGTGGGTGTGGCAGTAGACAGTTAAGTGGGTGTAGCAGTAGACGTTTAAGTGCGTGTGGCAGTAGAAGTTAAAGTGGGTGTGGCAGTAGACAGTTAAGTGGGTGTAGCAGTAAACGTTTAAGTGCGTGTGGCAGTAGAAGTTTAAGTGAGTGTGGCAGTAGAAGTTTAAGTGAATGTGGCAATAGAAATTGAAGTCGATGTGGCAGTACAAGCTTTAATACGTGTAGCAGTACAGGCTTAAGTGGGTGTGGCAAGTTTAAATCGGAGTGACGGTAGAAACTGAAGTGGGTCGAAGCAGTACAAGTTAAAATGTGCAGTATAGTAGAAGTTGTAGCACAGTCCAAGTAGAGTGTGGTAGTGACAATGGAGAGCTGTGCCTGACTATTCCCTCTGTGTAACACAGGTCTGGCAGCAGCTGACTCAACCCATATTGTCTTTCATGTACCAGGGTAACCAGGAGATGTCTTTCCTCAGCATTGCTTTTTAATTTCTTAATATAAATATAAAATATATGTATTTCATACACCTTGGGTTCTAGGACTCTCGAACGTACATACATAAACATAAACAAATCTCTGTTACTGTTCCAACTTCAGTGGAATTAAATATATATATAAACCAAATGCCAAGGATTCATAATCCTTCCATACTCTTTAATGTATGGTAAAGTAATCCTAACTGCTGGGATTATGGATATTGACGCTCATAAATACTTGTCAGGGTGAAAGGCATTCGAACCCGTATAATCAACAATGAATTAATACGTTACAGTGGTGACTTGTCTTATAACTTTATTAAATGATAAGGGCAAGAGTAGCAATGTTACTGGTCACATGTTATATACAGTTTTGTATGTCTAAGACGCTTTTATTACAAAAATTACATAATTTTTATGAATATTTTTATGAGCATGAGTATTACATAATGAATGTAATACTCATACTCATCCTGCGAGTATGTTGACTCACAGGATGAGTGACGCTACCCACTAACGCCCCGTCCTCTTGTGCGTACAAAATGTAGCGTTTCTAAATATACGCATTTTCTTGTGAATTTCGGAAGTAGATGCTTACGCGATCTGTGAATAAACTTAGGAGTAAACAGGAGCGTATTATTGCTTACATAAATTTCCTAGCATCATATTCCTAGCATCAAGTACGCTAAGCTTAGCGTGCTTGAAGTGTAGGTGGTGTTATATAAGATGACTGTGAATCTGGTAGTCTCAGTGCTCCTCTAAGCTACTTAAGAGTCTCAGAAATCACCGCCTTTGTGACTTGTAAAGGAGAATGTGCTCAAGCGCTTGTTCCCGATAGTTCAGGTGCTTGAGTATCGTTCCTTCACTCACCCCCATACATCCCCAACTCCTTGTTCTCACACCTCCTCCAAGTGTTACACATTCATAATGTCTTAGTGCTTTCTCCTCATAATTTACTACCTAGTCGCAGGGGAGTTCCTTGTTCTCTTAACGTGGCATTACTTAGCGTTTCAGTTGCTAAAATATTAGTCAAATTTACTACCATGAATAAAAACTAACAAACATGTTTATTATTGTTCTTTAACACCTATTTCATTATATTATTGGTAACCATAACGTATTGTAAATATTGTCGAATATATAATAATTGTAAAGCTATCGAAGATGTTCTATGGAAAGTATTTATCTATCGCAGATGTTTTATGGAAAGTATTCATCTATCGAAGATGTTTTATGGAAAGTATTCATCTATCGAAGATGTTTTATGGAAAGTATTTATCTATCGCAGATGTTTTATGGAAATACTTTCAGCTGTTTAAAGGCAGCTGACAGCTCAGAGCACACACCAAGCCTGAGGTTCACTCCATCTACCAACTAGTCAAGGAGTTGAACCTGCCCAAATACTATAATTATCAGGAAAAAGCGTTAAGTATGTATGATTATACAGCACATGGATAGGGTATAGGGACAGGATAGGAAGAGGAATATAAGGGCAGGATAGGAGCTGAGATACGAGGACAGTAGGACTCACAAAAGCGGTGATCAATAGGTTTTATGAGAGCATTGTCCAGTAGGTCTCAAGAGAGCGATTTCAGTAAATTTCATGAGAGTGGTGTCCGGGAGGTTTCATCAGAGCGGTGTCCAGGTGTAAGGAGAGATGATAAGGGTGCCAAGGTGTCGGTCTTTCCGTATTCCTTTTACCTGCAAGCACAACAAATATTCATATAACTTGGGGTTCATCTTGGTATAAATCTGCACAAGATCTTCTGGTTATGAATTAATGTTTAGCCTGACTTGGTTTAATAACAAATGCAGAGAAACATTAAGAAAACTACTTTAGTCTGGGTTAAAAGAAATGTACATTTTCTGTCACATACACACCCAAACACAGAGAACCATCTACGCAAGACATGATGGAACACAAACTAAAAGAAAAAGGCTGAAAGAAGATTCATGTCGGTACAAAGTGTCAAGGGAGCCGAGAACATTATCAAGTGGAGGCAAAGAGAAGAAGGAGGAGGAGAAATCTCTCTCTCAGAGAGATAAACTGTTGTGATCTTCAGCTCCGAGAAACAACGACACACAAATAGTCAAATAAATCGTATGGAATATGAATAAATATAAAAAAAAAGCTACTATCATAGAAAGCTCAGATTAAGAAACTTCTTCTCAGGTCGTTGATCACCAACGATTTAACAATGATATGCGTTAATTTCGTTGAACCACTTTTCAAATTATGTATTTTAATTTCGAGAGGAAACAAGTCTTGACGACAGATTAGATTAGATGCCAGTCTCTCGTGATACATAACACTCACTACCAGTCTCCCGTGACACATAACACTCACTACCAGTCTCCCGTGACACATAACACTCACTACCAGTCTCCCGTGACACATAACACTCACTACCAGTCTCTCGTGATACATAACACTCACTACCAGTCTCCCGTGATACATAACACTCACTACCAGTCTCCCGTGACACATAACACTCACTACCAGTCTCTCGTGATACATAACACTCACTACCAGTCTCCCGTGACACATAACACTCACTACCAGTCTCCCGTGACACATAACACTCACTACCAGTCTCCCGTGACACATAACACTCACTACCAGTCTCCCGTGACACATAACACTCACTACCAGTCTCTCGTGATACATAACACTCACTACCAGTCTCCCGTGATACATAACACTCACTACCAGTCTCCCGTGACACATAACACTCACTACCAGTCTCTCGTGATACATAACACTCACTACCAGTCTCCCGTGACACATAACACTCACTACCAGTCTCCCGTGATACATAACACTCACTACCAGTCTCCCGTGACACATAACACTCACTACCAGTCTCCCGTGATACATAACACTCACTACCAGTCTCCCGTGACACATAACACTCACTACCAGTCTCCCGTGACACATAACACTCACCGTTGCAGGTAGACAGACAGACAGACGGGTGAGCCTCACCCAGAACCAGCTGCGGAAGACGAAGAATTCGTCCTGAGAGCATCAGGCAAATATTCATTGATATTTTCCGTCAGTTTGTTAGCCAAGTAGCGGAGGTCGCCGAGTACAATGTGCTGAGAGTCGATGATCTCCTCCAGGGACTTGATATGCGTGCTCACGTAGTCGTCTCTCGCGGCTTGACCCGTGCAGTGAGGTATCTTGCTGTTAGCGAGCTCGTTAATCCTGGCCATGACCTCGGAGACTGCCGGCAGTATTTCCTTTTCCTCGGGCCTAGCGGACGAGCTGGAGGTGTTTGTCAGGAAGACCGTCGCTATGTACAGCGAGAGAGCCCAGCTGAGCCACGGTGTTGACTTCATGGTGGATGGTTGGGAACTGATGGGTCTGTTGTGAAGGGGAGGAGCTGGCCGGGCCGTGAGGGGGACATTTCTTTGTCATTTTACCAGAATATTCTTTCATATTTGTAACGATGTTGGGCACAGTATAGACGGATTACATATCTACACAAATCTAATCAATAGAATCATAATTAGGAAGTGACAAATGATGTACAGCACTTAGGGTTGCTTGTACTGTCCGCGGGGTTTGGCAACAGAGTTTAAGTGGAGTAATAGGGTTTGGGGGTTGGGGGGGGGGGAGGGTGGCAGGTCTGTCCTACGCTTCAGTACACATTAGCAGTCATGAGACTCGAACGTGAACCTCCTCTCCGGCTCCTGCTGTCGGCTGCGTTGGCCCTGACGGCCACGGCTCTGCCCGCTGAAGAAGACTTCGTAGACTACCAAGTTCCCCTTGTGGCAACCATCGCCTCCGGCGTCAACCAGCTCTCTACTTTACTCGAGGATCGAAGAGTATCTTGCGACAACAGGCTCTCAGATCCCGTGGAGAAGAAGGTACTGAAGTTGGAGAAGCTAGTGGAGACGCAGTGGGAGAGACTGGCTGAGGTGGAGGAGGAGGTCAAAAATATGGAGAAGATTATGGATGTGTTTCTCCAGTACCGTGAAAACCTCAGACCTACAGTCGCTGGAGAAGGTAATTATAGTGTCGATAATTTTGATGGAGCAGCTACACTTGAAGCCCCAACACTCCATCACTGTGAGACAGGATTCACATTGTCCTTAGATGTACATGCCGAGTGAATTTAGAGATTTTTAACATTGTGCTGCGATTATTATAACGAATCAGCTGCTCCATTGCATACATAAGCTGCATACATAAGGAAATTATAAATCGAAAGTTTTATCAGTATGACAATTAATTTAAGAACCAGGGATGTTCTTTTATTGTGAACATTTTACACTTTATTTCTGTATTTTCACGTGTTATGTTTGTCTCAGGGTGCGTTGAGCCGTTCGAGCAGGCTGCTGGTGGGTGCTTCTGGGCGCACAAGAATCCCAGCTTGTCGTGGAAGCAAGCTAGGAAGAGGTGCCAGCAGGAGGGTGGTGACCTTGCCACGCCTGACAACCTGAAAGCCGTTAGGAACTACCTGCGACTGAAATTGGGGTCAGGTCAGTAGGTCTCTCTCTGTCTCTCTCTGTCTCTATCTCTCTCTCTCTCTCTCTCTCTATCTATCTCAAATTTGTCTACAAATAAATATATTAGACTGAAAATAATATACAATCTCGAAATAATTTGTAAGGAACATTTTTTAATATAATAATGACAACCTGTCCTCACACATCGTCCAATCATCTCTTACTTCCTTAGACTGGTGGTACCTGTGGCTGGGGGGCAAGATCACGGGGCCAAGGAAGTGGTCGTGGCTAGACGGAAGGGAGATCGAGTCCAGCGACGACGATTGGGCCGAAACCAACGAGTCCGGTGACTGTGTGGCCCTAAACAGTGGCCGAGGATATCGGGCCATGGCGTGGGACTGTGAGAAGCACAACTGGTACCTCTGTGAAAGGAAGATGAGTTAGTGTCTCGTTGGCGCCAAAAGAGCTGGGGTACTTCACACAGAAGTACCAGAAGTACCTATTGAATTACCTGGTACTTCTGTGAGAAGATGTAAGGCAGAATGCTACCTCTGTCAGCTAATAGAGCGACTTACTGCCTCTGTGAAGTACTGTATAGACTTGGTATCTTGGTGATTAGTGTAGCTTATTATCTCTTTGAGAATGTATGATAGTCTGTTACTTCTGTGTGAAAATCTGGTGGCTTAGTATATCTTAAATTTTTGTTTAATGGTCTGGCAATTCTGTGAGAAGACGATTTTGTGGACTCCAAGTGATTGGACACTGATTGTATGATAGTCATTCGTATGATAGTTTTATTGGACTCTGTTTCTTCACTCTATCCTCGTACCCGAGCTAACAGTCCTCATATGTTTTTTGAAGTACTATATAGTCGCACTGGCTTAGCGCTTTCTCCTAATAAATACATGGAGTCTTTGCGAGCAGAGCCGTGGATTGGTACCTTTGTGTAAAGTACCAATCCACAGCTAATAATCTTTGACTTTTCAATATCAATATACTTGGTTTTAATTTTAACCTCTAGTTACAACCATCCGTGTGGGAACATGATCCAGTTATCCAACCATTGTATGTTTGTTTCTACTGATAATTGATGTAAATAAAACACCGGAGTGTCTACTTTTATGCCCATTTTGTGCCATTACTTGTAATAATAAATACACAAAATTGCCAAGTGTGTTTTTATAGAAATGTATTTTTGTAGTCAATACGAACTTATCCTCAATATCCTCTCACTTCTCCTTTCCCCCTCCTTCTCCTCCTTCTCCTCCTCCTCCTACTCCTCTTTCTCCCCCTCCTTTTTCTTTTTTCATTTATGTATTGTATAGGAATATCAATGTAAACATATGTTTCAGGGGTTGAAATGCCCTGAGTCGCGCACTTTTATGTTATGAAAGAAAATATATAATAATTCCTAAGATTTTGTTATCACTGTAGTGATTCTGTTATCGCTCCGGTGAGTGTTATCACTCCAGTGAGCTTATTATCATTCCAGAGTGACTGTTATTATACAAAATAAATAAATAAACTGCATTACGAGACTCATTCAAACCATAGATGATCTATATCTTGAGACTCATTCACACCAAGTGATTGGACCAATATCCAACCTAAGGATACCTGATCAACCAGGCTGTGGCACATACGTCAGGCTGCGAGCAGCCGCGTCCAACAGCCTGGTTAGGGGGGACGCTAAGCCCCGAAATCATCTCAAGATAACCTCAAGGTAAGGTGACCAGAGACAAACTATGCAACGAGACTCATGTATACCATAGACGAGTTATATCACTAGACTTATACAAGCGGAAAAACCCAATCAAAAAACCATTATGTTCCCCTTAGTCTCCTGGCTAGCACACAGGGATGTACACACACACACACACACACACACACACACACACACACACACACACACACACACCTGACTGTGTCAACGATGACTGATAGATCCCACACCCTTCAGATAAATATCAATTTACCGACAGCCACCAGCCGCTGTGGGTCGGGGCCATGGTCAACAGTTGCACTGGGAGGGTTAACTGGGTGTAAACACGTAGGGTGTACCATCCCCTACACCCATCACCTAACAGAACTGGCAGGTGATGGGTGTAGGACGGATGAGGTTAAGAGTGGAGAATAGTTGGGGAGATTGGTGAAAGAGAGGGAGGGAGGGAGGGAGAGGTGTGTGAATGGCTGGAGAGAGAGATATAGAAGTAGCAAAGACAGGTAGTGATGAACTGGATGGTTACATATATAGATGTTATGGGTGGAAATGGGGTATACATTGGAAGGGAAGGGACTCCAAGTGATTCGGACTCCATCAGTTCTTCGAAGAAGAGCGAAGAACTGATGTGGGTGGCGAGAAACAGATGGTGAGATAAAGAGCAGGTACTGTTGAATGAATACAAAGGAGACAAGAGAGGAAGAAGGTCACCTATAGCCACAGATGCAGATATGACAGGAGAGATTGAGAGGAGGCAAGAGCTTTTAGGCGATGTAAAGGAAAAATAAGCAGGTGCAGTGGAAGAGTCAGAGTCAAAAGTAAGAGAGAAGTAGAAGGAACAGTTTAGCGAGGCAATAAGATGGTAGGAGGAACGAAGACAGAGGAAGGGATGAGAAGGACGAAGCCACAAGTGAAGAGGGACTGGGAAGGGGCCATGGACAAAGTGGGGGGAGATGAAATACAGGAAAAATGGGGAGAGGATGAGACAGAGGCAGGTGTTGAAACAGGAAAGGACCCATCAAGAGAACTCTGCTCAGTGGGATCCATGAAGGACGAGGCTGAGGCTGCTATACATTACGAGACTCCTTTACGGACCTCACAGGGGGTCAGTTCTGACCAAGCACCAACGTAAGAACCCTCAACAATGCTTATCTATCCATACATAAACGCCCCGAAGCTCACACACGCACACAAACACACACATACACAAATACCAACGTATGTTCAGCCTCTCATAACTGGAACAAGGTACCCTCATATCCCTCTCAACTCTCTGTCATTATTCCTTGTTATGACGCTCTTGGTGGTCTGGCTAGAGGACGTCACAGGGCCACATGCGTAGTAGATGAGCCTCTGGATGGCGTCACGAGGCCACATGCGTAGTAGATGAGCCTCTGGATGGCGTCACGAGGCCATATACGTAGTAGATGAGCCTCTGGATTGCGTCACGAGGCCACATACGTAGTAGATGAGCCTCTGGATGGCGTCACGAGGCCATATACGTAGTAGATGAGCCTCTGGATGGCGTCACGAGGCCACATGCGTAGTAGATGAGCCTCTGGATGGCGTCACGAGGCCATATACGTAGTAGATGAGCCTCTGGATGGCGTCACGAGGCCATATGCGTAGTAGATGAGCCTCTGGATTGCGTCACGAGGCCACATGCGTAGTAGATGAGCCTCTGGATTGCGTCACGAGGCCACATACGTAGTAGATGAGCCTCTGGATGGCGTCACGAGGCCACATGCGTAGTAGATGAGCCTCTGGATGGCGTCACGAGGCCACATGCGTAGTAGATGAGCCTCTGGATGGCGTCACAGGGCTACATGCGTACTGGATGGGGCGCTGCACAGCTCCCAGGACTTTCCTAACCACCAAGATGGTCTTAGGAAATGTACTGGAGCAAGGAATAACAGGCAGTAAGAACGTAGATTTGTATGGCTGGTGTTTGAAATTTACGTGAGTGATGTTCGAATTGACGTGGATGATGTTTGAGTTTATGTGGATGATATTCGAATTTCAATGCCTGGTATTCGCATCTTGAATTCCAGTGGCTAGTATTCATATTCAACTCTGACATGTATATGATCGTACTTTTATGTACAATAACAGCGAGCAAATGTGATGTCTGATATGACGTTAGACCTGGTTAAGTTTCACAATTGTACCTTACTGGCGTACATGGTACCTTAACCACTTGACCAACCATGACCGTACAAAAGACGTTGGTAGCCAAGGCTATATCCCCAACATCCCGACGGTACTTGCTTGCCGTCGGTATATGTATATATATATATATATATATATATATATATATATATATATATATATATATATATATATATATATATATATATATATATATATATATATATATAGGAAGGGAGTACCACCTCTAGCTGGAAGAAGGGGGACCCATAGCCTCGGAGGAAACCACGCATAACGCATTAGAGGGAATGTTTAGATCCCCTCCAATACAGTTTCTGTGTGCTTTTCTCCTACCACCCCCTTCCTTGAATATTTTTTGTGCTTTATTATGCATTTGATGGTTACAAGATATACATGGGTTGATACAAAATAATAATGCAAAAAGGTGCTTAAAGGTTATGGATCTCTTGAAGAACACAACAATGGGAAACATTGATGAATGTCACAGACGGGTTCGATCATTGTTGCAAGTCAAACACTTCTTCGAATTCCTCTGAAGTTGGACTAGTGCCCAAGACGCAACAGGCCATATATATATATATATATATATATATATATATATATATATATATATATATATATATATATATATATATATATATATATATATATATATATATATATATATATATATATATATATATATATATATATATATATATATATATATATAAATATTTCCAAAATTGTGGAGCAGCACTCCACACTAGTCAGAAGCACTTTTCTCTCTTTGGAAATTATGTGTTTTTTACAGTAGATTTGATGCTTATCTTAGGTCAGGTCTTATCTTTGATAATATCCTACACTGTATTAGGAAATTCTCATCTGATACATTCAAGGAAAACCCTTGTACGGGCCTATCAGAGAACTCTGAATATAATCCAGTAACGCAAGGAACATATTCAAATAATTGGTTGCAATAAATCACAATGAACAAAGCTCTTGTTTATTTAAAAACTACTAATTAGGGAATACAATCTACTTCTCTCCAACTACTAAGACATGTTCTTCACCTTGATCTCGCATATGTACCACCTCCTGGACGTCTCGCAGTTCTTGGGTTTGATCTCGAACCAGTTGTAAGCCTCCATGACCACGCAGTAGTCGCTGCCGAAGGCTATGAGTTCGGAAGCCATTTGCTCCCTCTCGCTAACTATTTTCCTGCCGTCGATCCACTGGTACACTGGAAAGTCTTGTTTAGGGTCCGCTTTACCCCCCAGGAAGAAGAAACCCCAACCTGTGGAGAGGAAATAGGGAACAATAAGTTAGGATTGAATGATAAACTGCTATGTGTTAGAATCTCTGATAAACATAGAAGCTGGAGTTCATTAACCGGCACGAAATACCCGGCAAACAGCAGCAGTCTTCCCAAACATCAGCAGTACCACAGAGCCTCAGTTTCCCCAGCACCAAAGAACCTTAACAACATAGGAAGTTGGGCATAAAGAGGTAGATCTCGTTGACCAGACCACACACTAGAAGGTGAAGTGACGACGACGACGTTTCGGTCCGTCCTGGACCATTCTCAAGTCGACAATTCGACAATCGACTTGAGAATGGTCCAGGACGGACCGAAACGTCGTCTTCACTTCACCTTCTAGTGTGTGGTCTGGTCAACTTACTTTAGCCACGTTATTGTGCCTGCAGGTAGATCTCCCTCCCCATAGTCACTGACATGTATAAAGACTCACCTCCAGATGAAATGGTCTTAACGTATTTCCTAAACTTGGATATGTTGGTGGGGTAGGCCAGGTCCCCTCCGAGCCTGGCGCAAGAGAACCTCGCCGCTGACCACGTCTTTTTGACCCCGTGTGGGTGGTAGAAGCACCCGCCCCCGGCCACTTCGAAGGGTTCCGGGCACTCTGAGGAAGAAGGAAGTCTGTTTCAGGACGTTAGTTGACTTAAGGGGAAAATAATAATTGTCTTTCGGTAGATGAAGCGAGGGAGTCTACTTCCTTTGGTTTGAAGCTGGGTTTCTGGCCTGCGGCTTCTGACTCGAGAGTTCTGAAGGCCGTGACTCTAGCTTTCAGACCAACTAGTAAGTATGCTTCATTATTTCATCAATCGAAGATACCTAAACTGAAATCTCAGTAACATGTACTCGTATTGTATAAACTTAAAATCTGCAAAAATATTTCGAGCTATATTCTAGTATTATAATTATTATATTATTACTGTTATCATTATTATTGCAATCACTAATATTTTCCCATTGTTCAGTAACTGTCCTCACTAGTACTAGTAACAGTAGTAGTGGTGGTGGTACCTGTATTAGTAGTGGTAGTTTTATTTGCATTGCCTTGCTAATACTTCTATTATTATTATTATCTCCTTATTATAAATAGGTGGACATGGAGTTACTTAGACATGTCTTAAGAACTACAGTAAAACAGTGTCGATGAGAGGGGAGACTCACCCACAGCTGACGGATCTTTGAGCTGGACCTTGGCGTACAGGTCCATCTTGCGGAATATATCGTGTTCCAAACCTTTCAGCGCTACTCTCTGGATGGTGATATCTCTCCAGAGGTCCTGTAGTCTGGTGTCGCATCCCCGAGTGCCACTGAGAGCCTTCTCCAGCCTCAGCAAAGCCATCAGGAGTGCCTGGGAATCCTGATATTCCTCAGTAGCTGCTCCCTGTTTGTCCAGACCGGGTTTCTCATCGACGCCCGTCTTGTTCTCCTTAACCATGGTCATCCGGTTTCCCCTAACAAGCGCACCTGCCACGCCCATATAGCTCTCCACGCCCACACTCCCCACGCCCAACACCAATAAGCTTACTACCACCAAAAATCTGAGGGTGGTACAGGGACTTCCACACTCCATGCTGGTCACAGCGGTACTGGCTTCCACTAGAGAGATGCACCCTTACCACACACACACACACACACACACACACACACACACACACACACACACACACACATGCCAGCACACTCATAGTATACCTACGTCATTCGGAATCATTGTATAAAATATGCACAGCTCAATATATATACAAAACGTAAATGGGTTAATTCACTTCGGATTTTAATATAAACTCGACGTTATCGTTTATTTAGAAATTATTTAGAAATGTCCTTGTGGATTTGTTCATTTGAGGCATCACGCTATTGTGATTTCTGTGTGTAATGAAGTAAGGGCGAAGAGGGAGAACGGCTTATTGACATAGCTCGAGTGCATGGGGGAGTTGTGTAAAACCCTGGTTTGTGTCTCGGAGAGGCTGCAGGATCCAGTAAGTTCAGTAGAACTTCGGGTTCAACTCTTTTGACCGTGTCGTAGCTCAGTCGATTAAGACAGCGTCTGGGATGCTCCCGGACGCAGGTTCGAATCCTCGTCACGGCCCTTGTGGATTTGTTCATTATTATTATTATTATTATTTTTATTATTATTATTATTATTATTATTATTATTTATTACTATTTATATACTTATATACTTATATATTTATATATTTATATTTATATACTTATATTATATACTTTATATTTATTTACTGTGCTTGAAGAACATAACAGAACCTTGTGGACAACAGCAATAAAGTCGACATAATCAAAAATTTAATAAATCGATCATTAAAATACCTAAATATTAGTCCTTTTATCTAAGATTAAAGCTAATGTTTATCATACAATAAACGGTCTCAATATTTTGGGTGGAACAAACAAAAATTAGGCCTGAGATCCAAAGATGAAGACGAGGATTTTAGCACACGAGCTTTGAGACCTGAGGTTGAGAATGGCTCGCATGAGTGACGCAGTTACCCCTCAGTGATTGAGTATTTGTCGGGATGAGTGACACAGTTACCCCTCAGTGAGTGAGTATTTGTCGGTATGAGTGACACAGTTACCCCTCAGTGAGTGAGTATTTGTCGGGATGAGTGACACAAGGGGGACAAATCTTCTGTTTATTTAATATTTTTACATGACAACCATTTGTGTTAACATAGAGGACAATTGGCTGTGACAGAGGAGCTGCTGTGCTGCTGTGCCTCCCCCCATTCCTCCCGTTCCTTAAGAACCCCCTCACTCTCTCACTCCTTTCCTCACCAGCCCTTCCACATGCCCCATCCCTTCGTTCCTCTCTCCTGCTCAAACCCCCCTTTCCTTTGTCTCCTTTCCTGTCTCCATCACTAATTTCTATCCATATCAAACTCTCTTCTTCCCTTCTCCTCTCCCCTCTCCTTTCCTCAGACGTTTGTTCTCTCCCTCTTCCATCTATCTATCCACACGCCCCTCCCAGCTCCCCAGTGTACCATAATTGTCGTTCATTGCTGTGGGGACGTGATAACAGGACGGTGGCTGGTCGTGGGCGGTTGAGGGGACGGCTGGGCGGTGATCACAACATGTTAAACGGGTACGTTGACCACAGGTGGTAGGAAGACAGTGATTGTCTGAGGGTCCAGATCCTCACTCGGTCAGCTGTAGTGGGGGCCTCGGGGAGGGTTGGTGGTGAGGCCTCGTGAAGTACGGACCAGGGGGCCAGATTCACGAAAGCACTTACGCCAGCACTTACGAAGGTGTACATCTTTCCTCAATCTTCGACGGCTTTGGTGACATTTACTAAACAGTTTACAAGCATGAAAACTTGCCAGTCAACTGTTGTTATTATTATAAACAGCCTCCTTGAGCTTCGGAGCTCATTAACTGTTTAATAATTGTAAACAAAGCCGCCAAAGATTGAGAAAAGATGTAAACGTTCGTAAGTGCTTTCGTGAATCTGGCCCCAGAGGCTCTTTTGTGATCTTCTCGAGGATTAATATACGAGCTTCTTGTAGGGTTATTGTTGTTTTAGATTCAGCTACTCAGGACAAGAAGTTCGAGTAGCACGGGCTATGGTGAGCCCGTAGTCTCTCTCTTGTAGGGGTGCATAAGGGTTGTTATGGGTCCTCCTGGAGAGGTGTGAAGGAGTTGGACCACCTGTGGAAGGTGTCCCAGGGGCCCGCGATTCAAGGGTAGAAGACAGTCCTGTCTTAATTAGAGTACCTGCAATAGAGTAATTAATTAGAGTACCTGCAATTAAAAATAGGAATAAATGTAAATAAATTACATTTATTTGTTCAGAACTTATTATTTTAAATATATGGGGTAGACAAACTACATTTATGTGAATGTAAAGCGATAAGAGGTTTCCCAAAATAATAATTTAAAAAATAAATATGGAAAAGGAGGTCAGATAAAGCTAGGAATTCGGGTGTAATTATTAGGCATAATTTATCACAAGAAAACCTTATAAACTTCAGTTTATGAGGTTCGTCGAACTCATTTGCAAGGAAAGGTAATTATGAGGAGAAAATGCTAAGCAAGTTCGACTATATAGCACTTGGAAGGAATATGAGGACAAGAACTGAGGGAAGGAAAGGTGGCCAACATATGTACCATCGGGGATCGAACGCCGACCTGTAAGGAGCGAGACCGTCGCTCTACCGACCGATCCAAATGGTTGGTAATTTTAGTAAAAGTTTTTAAGGTATATGGAGAATTGTTAAAATAGTTACTTCCAACGAACATCATACATGAACTGCAGTATGCAGCTGCGATTCTAAACTCGTACCAAAAGAATGTAATTATCATATTTTAAATATCCAAGGATATGCAAGGATGTGGATCCGGGAACTTAGACATGAGATACAAGGCAAGATTAAAGCTGTCTCATATGGCCAAATTTTATGTCAGAAAAATAACTACTATGCCATGGTAACAACATACAAGATTTTATAATGATGCGAGAAAACAGGCGACGGAGAGTTTATGAAACCAAAAGTAGAAAAATAAGCCACATATATATATATATATATATATATATATATATATATATATATATATATATATATATATATATATATATAAATAAACTAAACTTCAGAAGGACGTTGAGTTAGAAAGATATTAACAAGTAAATAATTATATGTGTGCAAATATTCACTGAAAACGGGAGAAAGAAACCATATATGAAATAACAATAACTAAATAAACACACAAACACGCACATACACGAACACAAACACAAACAAACCTAATCAATTATACGTAATGTAATATAGTCGTGCAGGTTTAGCATAGTGGTCTACGTCCTCGTATCACAACCGATGCTTTTTTTCACCTAGCAAAAAACACCTAACCGGGAGTTTAAAGTTTAAAGACATCCATAAATGTTATTAGAGCTAGACATCGAAAAGCCTAAGTACCGGAGGACTTAAGAGGACCTAGAAGGACTTCTAAGTACCGGAGGACTTAAGAGGACCTAGAAGGACTTCTAAGTACCGGAGGACTTAAGAGGACCTAGAAGGACTTCTAAGTACCGGAGGACTTAAGAGGACCTAGAAGGACTTCTAAGTACCGGAGGACTTAAGAGGACCTAGAAGGACTTCTAAGTACCGGAGGACTCAGAAGTCCTTTGGAGGACTTGTTGTTCCTGACAACAGGAATGGCTAATTACTTATCTAAGACGAGAGAGGGTCGTAATTCACTTACATTTTGACTTCGCAGAGAGTGACGCCGTGCGGGTCCTCACAGTCTGTTGCCTCCAATTGGAAGGTGAAGGTGTCTAGCATGGCGCACTTGTGGCTCTGAGGGTGTTGCGTCAGGGAGGTGTAGTTATCGTCCTTGGTGTCTATCCTCTCCCCATCCACCCACCACCACTCTGGGACGTCCCCACTCGTCACTGTTCTGGCTCCTATCCAGTACTTTGTGTCACCTGCAGGACGAGGGGGATAGTTGATTGGTAAAATCGGCATATTGACCCTTGCTCGGTGCTTGAATTGGCTTGTATCAGCCTCTGGAGGGTTATTAAGGTCGTGACACTAGTTTACTAACTAGCCAACAAGTTTAATTTACTCCAGAACTAAGGTAAACTCTCAGCCTATATACACTGAGTTGAAGGATACACTTCGATGTGTATAAATCCCTAGTATGAATCCTTAGAATGTTGCGAGGGGAGATTTTATGTCCTAATCTTTAAAAAAAAAAAAGCTCAAACTTAAATGAGTTATATGTTTTTATGGATAATGGCTTGGGAAGAGATAATAAAGACTATGGTCAAAGATCAGGAGTAACAGAGATACTCGGTGGAGAGTTATTTGAAATAATAATATATATTCAATATATAATCACACTGTAAAACAGATCAGTGATTTTACTGAGAGGCAATTTTGCTCTACTGTTTACCCCCTCTGTTGTCTCAGATGTATATGAAGCAGTGAATTGAGATATTGTTTGTTGAAAAGATGGAATCTGAAGACCAGTCTTGGAACCTGCTTATAGAAAATGGAGAGTTTGAATAAATCGTGTGAAGTTTGAATGGGAAACGTGTGTATTCTGTAATTGATGAATTCTTTAATGGATGGTGAACTTTTGAACCATAGAGTTAGTGAATTATGTACACCAGAGATGGTGTGTTGTGTTCGCTAGGGATGGTGAGCTTTGTACCCTATGTTTAATGAACTTTGTACCCAAGGTTCGTTAGAACTATGTACCCCAGGTTTGATGAGCTCTGTATCCTAAGGTTGATGCAGAGCTCTACAACCTAGTTTTGATGAGTTGTGTACCGTAGGAGTCGATGAGCTGTGTACCCCAAGGCTGGTACCTAGGTAACCTATTATTGTATCACACACCGATATAAGTAAGCTGACAGAAAACACAACAATACAGAACAATTCAAAACATTACTCCGAAAAGCTTCAGCAAGTCATCAATAAGGTTAAAGTCTATAGAGACGAGAGACATGCAGTTCATTGTTGATAAATCTACATATTTAATTTTAGCAAAAGCGATGATGGCAAATATGTGTATATTAGTATATGTTAGTGTTTACCTCAAAACAATAATCAAGTGATACACCTTTAGAAGTGTACTTCACTTTTCGGTGTATATATATGCCCTGGGAGTTTAGATTTTAACTATTAAAGGTTATTTTTACCTGTTGGTCAGCAAGGCATTGTGGTTCTCAACTTTCTCCTTGCATTTGACTCCTGAGGAAGTGGAGGCCGGCTTACCTGCTTCAGGCACGTAATTCCTAAGGGAGTGAAGGTCCTCGGGGTGGACCAGGTCGCTCCCCAGAATCCAACAATGGAACCTCGCTCTCCACCACACCCTGAGGTGGTCGCTGTAGGTGTGATAGCAGCTGTTCCCTACCCGAGTGAAGGAATCTTCGCAGTCTGGGGAGACAGTGGGATGGATGCGGGAATAAGTAGATTAATTGGGAAGGATAAGTATGATATATATATGGTAGGGATAAGTAGGATAGTTGGTAGGGATAGTTAGGCTGGGATAATTAGGTGAATTGAATAGGCTGGGATAATTAGCAGAGAAGAGATTAAAGATTGTATTACAATTATATATTATATGGACATTATATAAAGAGAGAGAGAGAGAGAGAGAATGAGAGAGAGAGAGAGAGAGAGAGAGAGAGAGAGAGAGAGAGAGAGAGAGAGAGAGAGAGAGAGAGAGAGAGAGAGAGAGAGAGAGAGAGAGAGAGAGAGAGAGAGAGAGAGAGAGAGAGAGAGAGAGAGAGAGAGAGAGAGAGAGAGAGAGAGAGAGAGAGAGAGAGAGAGAGAGAGAGAGAGAGAGAGAGAGAGAGAGAGAGAGAGAGAGAGAGAGAGAGAGAGAGAGAGAGAAGAAGAGAAAAGAGAGAGAGAGAGAGAGAGAGAGAGAGAGAGAGAGAGAGAAGAGAGAGAGAGGGAGACAGAGAGAGAGATGATAACACTAACCTTCAACCGGCACTCTGTCAGCCTTCTTAATAACAGCGATCTGATCCATCCTTTGCAGGACCTTGGCCTTCATATCATCCAGAAGTGCATTGCGGACCCGTACAGCTTCCCACAGCTGCTCCACCCGTCCTTCACAACCCTCAGTCTCACGCAGCGTCGCCTCAAGTTCCGTCAAGACATCGAGGAGCTCAAGATGATCTCCGGTGCTCGTTGCTGCCCATGACAGCCCTGCTGTACCGATCAACGTCGCGACAGCTAACCACGCACACGGGCACGCACCACCGCCCACCCGCATGGTCACGGCGACACTGACGTCTGCTGCACATTCAGGCTCCCCCCTTCCCATCCCCCAACACGCACGCACACACACGCATGCACACACACACAGTGAATAGTTATATCAGGTGAAAGGAAACATGCTCAACCTTCCCAGTCATTCCATTAGATTGGGCGCGCGCCATGCTGCTCGGAGACTTATTTGCTTCTATTAATAAGATCTTGTCTTATTTTTAGTTCTTTACTTATAATGACTTCCGGATCCCTATTGTAATTGTAATTAAAGCTTATGAAGTTTTTCTTCATTTCCTGAATGTATAATAATCCCTATTTTTGCATATTAAAATGTTATTAAATTTATAATTGCACCAATAGCAATATCATGAATGCATATAGTGATATTATTCGAGATATGAGAGTATGGAGGGAGCCGGTCGGCTGAGCGGACAGCACACTGGACTTGTGATCTTGTGGTCCTGGGTTCGATCCCGGGCTCCGGCGAGAAACAATGGGCAGAGTTTCTTTCACCCTATGCTCCTGTTACCTAGCAGTAAAATAGGTACCTGGGTGTTAGTCAGCTGTCACGGGCTGCTTCCTGGGGGTGGAGGCCTGGTCGAGGACCGGGCCGCGGGGACACTAAAGCCCCGAAATCATCTCAAGATAACCTCAAGATAACTATGGAAGGTGGTGTGGGGATAATGGACAGAACATGAGAATGTTGAAAAAAAGTGTAGTAATAGAATGTAGTAATAGAATGTAGTAATAGAATGTAGTAATAGAATGTAGTAATAGAATGTAGTAATAGAATGTAGTAATAGAATAAGGGTGAGTGATGAAGGCAACGGGTAATAACGCACACATGGAGGTATTACGTTGTCTGAGAGTGTGTGATAAAGATGGATTATGTTCAATCAATCAATTGTCCGTCATGGATATGTGTTCTTGGACAATCGTCACGGACAATCGGACTTGGACAATCGGACAATCGGACTTGGACAATCGTCATGGACAATCGACTTGAGAATGGTCCAGGACGGACCGAAACGTCGTCGTCGTCCCTTCACCTTCTAGTGTGTGGTCTGGTCAAATTATATTCAAATTCTATATACCAAAATAAAACTAATGAACAAAATGAATAAATAAAAAACACATGAAGGCAGAGACAAGTTTATTTGATAAGAGTTCGAGACTCGCGAGATGAACTTCTCACAAGCACTCAACACAAACACAAATAATAATGATATACAGAGTACAAAGAGCGCCATTACATAATGATTTACAGAACATAAAAACAAACTGATATGAATTTGATGAATACATAAGGATGAGTTAACACGAATGATGAATTAGGAGGGGAAATAATTATTTTTTCCACAGAAGATGAATTTAGACCTATTCTCTACTGTTACAATCACTTTTTTATTATCTAAACATTCTTATTATTACCACTAATATATATATATATATATATATATATATATATATATATATATATATATATATATATATATATATATTCATCATTGATGAACTCTGGACGGGTCATCGTTGATATCGACCCCAGATATGATGTGATAGCAGCCACAGTGTTGATCCCAACTCATATTTTAATATCAGCTGTGGGAGTGACCGACAGGAGGGGACGCCAACAGAGAACCGAACACCAGAACACACCACGACGGGGAACTCTAGAACACACCACGACGGGGAACTCTAGAACACACCACGACGGGGAACTCTAGAACACACCACGACGGGGAACTCTAGAACACACCACGACGGGGAACTCTAGAACACACCACGACGGGGAACTCTAGAACACACCACGACGGGGAACTCTAGAACACACCACGACGGGGAACTCTAAAACACAGTCTTGCTCTTCAGGTAGACTAAATTCTGTTGATGAAAACAATATAATAATTGGGATGGCAGTGGAATGTGATTACATTTATGTAAATAAGTAGGAGAGGGGGGGATCCGGTTGAACTCGGGTCTCTTTCCTCCTTCTTCACTCCCCCCCTTCCTTTCTCACCTCTCTTTCCCTATTCTTCCCCATTTTGCCTGTGCTTCCTTCTTCACTTTCCCTACCACTCATCACCTTCATTTATCATTCACTATATTTCCTACCCTTCCCAAACTTCACTATCATTCACCAACTTCACTATCATTCACCAACTTCACTATCATTCACCAACTTCACTATCATTCACCAACTTCACTATCATTCACCAACTTCTTTCTTCTCTTCACTCCTGTCCCTAAATACCATCTCCCCAATAAGATTCATCGAGCATATTAAATGTTAGTTTATATTATATCTAAGAGACGCTAAAATTTAATATGTTACATTAGTCTCAATGATGACTAAAAATCCTCTGGCCTCCAATCGCGAACAGACAAGCAGATCATCTTCTCTACCTCTACCTATATGAATATATGAGATCTATAAGAATTCATCTTATAGGTAGAAATGAATTCAAATTTAACTTAATGCTGAGTGAAAAATGCCTAGATCTGTATGTTTCCTCGACAACACTGTGGTGAGATTACAAATTGATTGGAAATTTGCCATCCTTACAAAAAACTTATATAAAGATTTAATAGTAGACGTGCTATAGTTGATATAGGCAATAACATCGTGGTAAGAGCGAGATCTGAAGATTTGTTAGAGCAGAGATGGATGAATCAACACATAAACTCGAAATAAATATTTGTGTTATGGGCAACTTAATACACCTACCCTGTCGTTGTCATAGGTCGTTGCCACCACGGGCTGCTGCTTCTCCACGACAACAGTGTGAGTTCGAGGAACCACGACGGTCTTAGTCAAGCTGGCAGCGGAGTTGGCCAAGGAGCTCAAGAAGCCACCCAGACCAGTAGCTGCGTTTCCTAGAGCCCTGAAGAGGCTGGCGCCGGCAGAATCTAGAGCTGCCCTTGTCTGGGAGGTTTGCCATCTGTTGGGGGAGTAAAGCGAGGAGATGACAGGGTGTGGCTCCTGGTGGGACGTCGCCTCGGGTACATAGGAACATCAACACACATATGAGGGAGAAAGAGACAGGTGAGGACGTGACACTTATACAAATCATCTTCGGCTCATTAACTGGAAGGGTCTCAATAGAAGTAAAAAATGGGCCGAAACTTCGTCACTGTGTTTCTTTTCATGTGTGTGTGTGTGTTGGGTTATTTGTATTCAGATAGGTTTATGTAACTTATTCTCTACTTTAGGAAGCTCAGAGCCTCACGTTTCTCGTGTTCCTAATAATGTTTCAATAATTACGGAGTTCTCTTCAAACTCAGAAAATATTTCACTTAATAATTTTAGCGCTCCCGGGTCGTAAATAAACGACGCGTAAATAGGGGTATTTTGTCCAGTTGGCGCCAGAGCGTCGTAAATTTACGCGCGATTAAAAAATATTTGTATAAAATCCAATTCTTATTCGATCGACTTGGGGTTAGTATGAAAATGTTTGCCATTAAATTTTCGTTTTCTCTAATAGGCACATGGCCTATTTGGGAGAACGGCATTGTATTGTAACTTAGTGGAAAGACTATTGTATTGTTGACACGGCGAGGGTAATCGCCCACTTCACACACTCTTGGTGTGGGCCGCGATCATGATTCTACATTTATATGCATATGTCTGTGTAGGGAATTTAATTGCGATCACAGCGATACCAAATTTAATGCTGTAGAATAAGTGTAGAGTTGACAACCCTGAAAAGAATGGAAACATTTCGTCGCTGTTTGGAGCTCACGGCTAGTGATCGATGTAGTTCTTTAGCTTTTTGTGTGATTTAACTCATGCTTTGGTGACATATACATATGTTCTTATATGTTGTTATAGATCATTCTATTGCGAACACTTTGGTACATAAATGAGATCAGTATATTGAAAATTAAGGTCAGGACAGCGAAAAGAGTATGCACTTTTCAGTGTTGCAGCTCGGTCACCCAAAAACGCCAGGCGCATGAGGGGGTATGTCCAGTCCATATCGCCGCGCGCGCATTAAAGTGTTTGACCGTTTCTCAGCTCAACAAATTGGAGTCGCCAGAATATGAGTAAATGTTATTGAATGTACTGTGATCTTGAACGCATACCAAGAGTGAAAACTATCTCGGTGGAACATCACAGTTGATGCGGAAAGACCACGTGAGTTGAGGCAGTTGCTAGAGATTGAAAAGTTTTAGAGGAGAGATAATGAGAAAACTATAGCGAGTCATTACGAGTGTAAGCTTATTACCAGTGTATCACAGAAGGAGGCACTATATTTATTTATTTATGTATTTGTTTATATACAAGAAGGTACATTGGAATTAACAGAGAACATAGAAATTGAGTTGATTTTACATTCTTGTAAAGCCACTGGCACGCATAGCGTTTCGGAATAATATATATGTATGCTTTTAAGGTACGTAAAAAAAATCTTATGGAATAACTTGTACGACGTAGAAAAGATAAGAATGATTACAGGAGAAACATTAGAGGTCTAGAAGCTATGCCTACTAATGGTTCCACAATTATAAATTGATATATGTCTCTCGTTGTGTACAAATCAGAACTCATAAGGCAATCAGTAGGATAGATTAGCATTTTAAAGGCGCTACAATCACCTTCTGTGGTTGATTGTTCAATAAATCACTGAATTATATGTTTAACAGATCTCTAACCCTGTCCATGGGGACAGAAGAAAATGTATATATGCTAAGTTGACCAGACGGTCTGGTCAACTTACTTTAGCCACGTTAATGTGACTCGTCGCCTTCATATGTATATATGCTGGTTAGCATTGTAAATGTGCGACCACGTCTGTGGTAGAACAAAAAATCAGTACTCACGCTTGGACGGCCGCGGTCTTGTCGTGAGACTTGACGTACGACACCTCGCTCCTCAGGGGAGTTATTACCGCCTTGGTCTGGACGAACTCATGAGGGGGGCTGACAACATCATGAGAAACGCTGACGGTCTTGACAGGCACGGCGTGGGAGGCGCTGACGTCGACATGAGCGACGCTGACGGCCGGGATGTTGACGCTCTTCCATGCCTGGAAGACGGCCCCCTGAGGCGCGGCCATCGACAGGCCCACACACACCATCAACACAAAAGCCGCTGCCGACATCTGGAGAGACACAGTTCGATGTAGTTTAATTATTATTGACCATACACCCCATCCTGTGGGTGGTAGTATAATAGGTTACAGATGCATATCATGGGCTCAGGAGTTGAACCCAACCACTTGGACTGGACGGTAGAGCGACGGTCTTGCTTGAAACAATCCAGCAACCCTCCTCCCCCCCCCTTCCCCGTATAATATGCTACCGGGTAATTTGTTCCACAAATCAACAATGCTATCTCCAAACAATGTTATTTACTGTTTGGAAATAATCTGTTTACAAACAATGTATTATTCGCTATCCAATTTATATCCATTGGTTCTTGTTCTATTTTTTTGTTGTATTTCAAACCTTATTTATATCTATTTTTCATCAATTCCTTCTGCGATGCCAACTGGAGTTGGCGGAACTAGTGATGTGTGGCGATGCAGCCGAACACAGGGTGTTGCTGGGTCGGAACCCTAATGAACTTTGCTGCCATCAGACGGGTTGTCCATCGCTCGAACTAAAGTATATCTACGCAGAGTTGATGGCAAAAATATAGCAAAAATAAGACGCCATATTTCAACACCCTTATAATCACATTCTAGACAAACAATACACAAAAATGTAGACAAAATAAAAAGTGGTTCATACGACGCAGACACAAAAAAAAAAAAGTTGAGGAACGTGTTGCGTCTCAGGTAATGTAGGTGATCCACCCCCCCCCCCCCCCCCCCCTCCTCCTCGATCTGCTTTTTCTGTATTGTTTTTTATAATATATTTAGTTATATCCGCAGTTATACATCCACACCTGACTGCATGAAGGCCTTCTGTGTCAGGAGCTAGAGTTACGTGATATAAAAACCTCATCCTGCATGATAGTTTGGCATGTGATCGGTAGCCTGCACTTGAAAGATTTTAATGGTTGTGACAATATGCTTAAAAAAGGTCGCGGGAGTGGATAAAGTGCTTCACAAAGTTTATGGAGTGCTCAGGATTGAGACAATCGTTCAGTTGCAGCCTCGTACCACAGGGAACAGAAGCCTAATCTTAATCTGGGAATTGCCAGGTCGGACTGTACTCGCCTAGTACACTGGTGAGTACTCTGGTGGATGATTGGTGCTTCACGTATATGCAGACGTCAGCTGTAAACAGGTCAGAGACGAGGCTAACCATAGCCCGTGCTACTTGCCCCGCTCCTGTGCCAGGTAAGTCCACTACGGGCTCACCATAGCCCGTGTTACTTGGAACTTATGTTCCGAGTAGCTGAATCTATAACAACATCTAAACAGGTCGTAGTTTGTTATAGGGTTTCTTTCCGGTCGTTGAGTGTTTCTGATTTCTCTTCGGACTTGAAAGTTTATAGCAATATAGTTTTGACAACGTAACTTGGGTATGTTAAGTCAGATTTCCACTTTGTTTCATTTATATGTTCGTGCCGTCATGATGAGCTATACTTGTGTGAGATGGTATGCATACAAAACATATGTATGTATGTATGTATGTATGTATGTATGTATGTATGTATGTATGTATGTATGTATGTATGTATGTATGTATGTATGTATGTATGTATATATGTAAGCATATGTGTAAGCATGTATATATGTGTGTTTAATGTATATGTGTACGAATGCATATCGTATATAGAAAGTGTCATAGTAGCATAAATTGTCAGCCTGTATCCCTAAATGCTTTCAGGGAAAAATGCATCATAGACAGACGTTTTGCTGACGTACACACACACATTTGTGGAGTAACTCGGTAAAATGACTATATTTTTTCCCGTATAGTGAATTATGCATTCCAGCGTTGCAAGGGCAATCATGTTGTGTAATATCAACCAACGTCTGGCCTTCCAGTACACAGCCATTATCTGGAAACATTTAGGTCAGAACATAAGCATTTTAACATTCAAGTTTCTATAAGCAGTCGACCAGAACTGACCTTCTCATAGTGCCAAATGAAAGCTGTAATCTTTCACTGTCACAACATGTTTCCTACAGTCTAAACCCAAACTTCTATAGGATCTTAGTTCAGAGACTTTAAATCCATTCCTGAGGGTACCAATAAACTTTCTAAAGCCATAGCTTCATTTTTACTTAACTACGCTTCCTAGGGTGATAATCGCATATTCGATACCTGTGCCCTCAGGACCATTTGACTTATTGGTAACCTAACAGTGCGCATGCCCGCCGCTCTGCGCATAGTTAGAACCTCAGCAAAACATATATTAGGCAAATTTACATTTGTCTGTATCTACCTAATTTCCGATATATGCTTTTGCTACTAAAGATTATTATGACTTATACCATAATTATGTACGTTGCCTGTGACACCTGTGGGCGCCACGGTCGACGCCTGCAGGTGTCACAGACAGGTGTCTCTAATGAACAAATCCACAAGGGCCGTGACGAGGATTCGAACCTGCGTCCGGGAGAATCCCATCCCAGGTGTCTCTAATGTGTAGTTTAGTGTTTATTCGAGGGAAAGAGAGAGTCTATTGGGTTATATTGAGTGAATATATCGCTTATATATCGCTACATATATCGCTTCTCGAGCATCTTATACCTTATTGGTTGTCGTGTCTAGTGTGAGTGTAATTTGTATACTGTTTAATGCACTTCGTATCAGTTGGGTTTACTGCGCATCTGATTGGTTCAACTTGTTTAGTTTACTATGTGAGTGGTCAGTCTACCTGTGTCCCAGCATGTCCTGGAACTCCCCAACTCACTTCCTCATGTATCATCCCCCACTTCCCCTTCACAATCTCAAGGGCAGGGGCATTGCTTATTCTATTCTGGGCTATTCATGCCCGTGCCACCTCTTGGGTGGCTTAATCTTTATCAATGAATGAATCTGCTTGTTCTACCCTGCCACATGTTTTCCGTTCTTGCTTACACCTTCTCTTCCCTTTCTGATGTCTGTCTTATCTTTTCCTTCCTTTGCTTACGACACCCATTTGCCCTCTCATTTATTTAAAAACAAGAGTGCCCTTCTCACCTCTTTAATTAGAGCTTACTGCCATTTTAACCCCACCCCCCTTTCACTCTCCCTCTAATCAGTCCCCCTCTTTTATACCGTTGCTCTATAGTCAGTAAACCTCTCCTTCACTATTGCCTACCCTATTATTTAACTTTTATACTCTGACTTGTTATTCCTTCCTCCCTGTGTCCTCCCTGGCTCCCTATTTACATCCCTTCTCTCCCTTTTCCCACCTTTTATCTCCTACTCCCCCCCATTCCCAAGAGTTGACGTCTGGCATTACCCCTTTTCTCGTGTCTCCCCCTTTCCTACCCTGTACAAGCTCTCCCCCACGTATGTATCAACTCTCTTCCGTGTTCGCTAATCCCTCCGTATATACTGACTCCCCCAGTATATACCGGGTCCCCCCGTATATACTGGGTCCGCCCGTGTACCCGGACCGGTTCATTACTCCCACCACTCCCACGTAGCATACTGAAGGCTGTGAGGGCCGCCGAAAGAATCTTAATGTTGAAGAGGACATACCCGGGAAGTTCCAGGAAGAGAAGATGGAGACGGATGAGGAGGAGGAGAAGAGGACGAAATAAGGAGGACGAGGGTGAAAAAAATGAGAAAAGGATTCAAGGAAGCAGAGGAAGTTAAGACATGAAGAGTCGGGAACGACGCGAAGGAGGAATAATAAGATGAAAAGATGAACGAATAAGAAGATACGAAAGAGTAATAGCAATAAACGATAAAAAAGGAGATATGGATAACAAGGATTAAACAACATAATTACAAGAAACCGAAGCAGCTATAACTTGACTGTATTGAGCAGAGACCTGTTGTCAATATCCCCCCCCCTCTCCTTCACTAGGATAGTGTACTAAAGTAATTTTACAACTTAATTTGGTAACTTAAATTAAGCAGCTACTTTTTTCTATCAATTTTAAATATTAAATTCTATAGCATAATTCAGAAAACTCAGCTTACAATCTCACAATGCTCTATACAGTGTTTTATATGCACAGTGCTCTATACAGTAGCTGTATAGTCTGCGTCTTATGGTCGAGTACGGACCTCACAACTCTAGAGGAGAGAAGACACTGAGGGGACATGCTCGCAACATAAAAGATACTTATGGGAATTGAGAAGCTGGAAAAAAAGGATAACCTCTTTAAGTGGGTCGAAAGTAGGACGGGAGACGTGAATGGAAGTGAATAGAAATGCAAGTGAGTAGAAGAGACGTAAGGAAATACTGGTAAGGGGTAAGCAACAAGTGGAATATGCACTGAAAGGTGGTGGAAGTCGTCTCCAATCCCAGCTTTTCAAGCCTGTTTGACGAGTTTTTTTTTTAATGCTAGTGGGCAATACACACACACACACACACACACACACACACACACACACACACACACACACACACACACACACACACACTTCATATATGATAGGGAAATGGGACAGGAGCCCGATTGCTGTAAACAACCGATGCTCGAAAGGCGGGATCCAAGAGTCAATGCTCGATCCTGCAGACACAACTAGGTGAGTACACACACACACACACACACACACACACACACACACACACACACACCAGACAATTATAGCATCGTTGTGGTATCTTGTAATGCCGCTTGCGGCTTGTCATTGTGTGTCTGGGCTCCGTTGAGATATTATCGTGTTTACATTGACCTTGTGATGCTCGGCTAACTGTTCAACCATCCTGTCTAACACTTTCTTGCAGTATTAGACACTCTTGCATCCTCTAAGTCTATCTCACTGTATAAATATATTTTTTACTAATAAACTAACATTGAACTTTGTTTGATGCGCAGAATTTTGGTAGTTTTATTATACAAGGAGACAGAAATATACATGTAAAGAGTTAGTTCGTATATATGTCTGTTTGTACATATGTATTTTGATAAATTACTCGAGATATTACCAAGCTACGTGTGAAAGTCACAGACCTCAATGTCAGAGAAGGTCGTGTTTGTGGTATATAGTGTGTGGTGGGCTGTATTGAGTTGTGTGTGGTGGGCTGTGTGTGGTGGGC